ATACACCCTAAACCATATGTACCTTATACCCTAACCATATTATATCCTAAACAACGAACCGTCAAAGATTACTTATCAAGTTTAGTATAAATTGTTGTAACTAATGGTTAATTTATTTATTAGCCCATAAATAATTACATACATATATATATTAGCCTTCAAAGCATATAAGAATAATTTTAACTAGTCATGCCCTCCATATAAAAGTTAAAGATTCATATTTCAAAAGCTAAAATTATGAAAAACCAAAAAATTGAAAACACCAAATTTGTTTCCTTCTTTCTTTTCACAAAAATACTAAAATTTCCCTCCTTCTTTCTATTTCCATAGATAAGAAAACTCAAATTTCCCTCCTCTTTCTCTTTCATAAAATTGAAAGAACCAAATTACCCTCTTATTTCTTTCTACAAAAAGTTGAAAACTCAAAAGTTTCCCTCCTTATTTCTCTTTCATAATCAAAAGAATCAAACTTTCCCACTTCTTTCTCTTCCCACATATCAAAACCACCAAAATTCTCACTTGTTTCTTTTCTAAAAAATTCAAAGAACCAAATTTCCCTCTTCTTTCTCTTCCCAAAAACTTGAATACACCAAAATTTCCCTCTTCATTTAAAAACATCAAATTACCAAATACATTACTTTACTTTATTTATATTTAATTGATAATTTTATTGAACAGTTAAATTAACCAAAATTTTAATTTATATATTATATTAATATTGTCATGATCTCAAGTGACCTTCATGTTTCAATTTTTGTAATTTTCTTAAAATACGTAATATAAAAGTGAGTTTCATATTTTTTAAATTTCTTATACGAAATGAAAAAATAATTTTACTTAAGTTTAGAATGAAAAACTTTATTTTGAAAAACTATGTATTGTATATTTTTATAATTATTCAAGTGGATTAGATGAAATTCGGGTTGAGTCGGTCGGGTTACGGGTTAGTCAGGTTCGGGTTAATCGGATTGCGGGTCAGTCGGGTTCGGGTTAATCGGGTTGCGGGTCAGTCGGGTTGTGGGTTAGTTGGGTTCCGGATCAATCGGGTTGTGGGTCGGGCGGGTTACGGGTTGTTGACTTTTAGTCAATTCGGGTTGCGGTCGGGTTGCGGATCGGGTTGATCGGGCGGGTTAATCGGGTCGGGCTATGTTTTGACACCTATAAACATGGAGCAGCTTGATCGAGCTCTGTGCTCTTAGTCTTGGATGGATCATTTTCCCGAGTCCCTTGTGAAAGATCACATGAACCAAGGGTCGGATCATAGGACTCTTATCTTGTTTGATAAACCATTCACATGTTAGAGTTGTCGTCTATTCAAATTTGATGCTCGATGGGTAGAGAATTTTGATGTTAGGGCGATGGTGGTGTTCGTGTGGAATGAGACTGTCCACGGATCCCCCATGTACAGACTAGGTGATAGCAACACTTCTCTTTTTCACATAATCACAAGGGTGAGGAGGAAGAGGAATTTTGTGGCTGGTTTGAGAAATGGGGAAGGTGAATGGTTCACTGATGAAAAGGGGACGACAGATATTTCAGTCGATTTCTTTCATACGCTTTTTACCTCTACGAACGAGGTAAAAAAATATGGAGGTCCCGATGGCTGATTTATCGATTGCTTAGATGGTAACTTCTAAGATGAATGTAGCTCTGACAAGTGAAGTTATGGCGTCGAAATTTCGGAGAACGGTCTTCTCGCTCGGTTTCCAAACAGACGTCGGGACTTGATGGGTTCATTGGAAAATTCTTTAGAGCATTTAGGGACGTCCTTTGTGAGTCTGTAGTTGAAGCTGTTTGCTCTTTCTTTCGGACGGAGCGAATGTTGCAAATCTTTAACCACACTTGATTAACGCTTATCCAAAAGTGGACAATGTGGATAATATGAGATAGTTGCGCCCTCTAAGCTTATGTCTATTCGTTTATAAAATCATTTCCAAGATGCTCAATTTCTCCCCTAGATCATTTCGCCAGGGCAAAATGCGTTCATTCATGAAAGACAGATAGTGGATAATGTCCTTATTGGGCACAAATTGATGCATTACCATAAGATAAAAACTAAAGGTAAGAAGGGCTATATGGATATGAAGGTTGATATGAGAAAGACCTATGATAGCGTCGAATGGTTGTTATTACTTGTGATTTTGGATAAAATGGGGTTTAGCCCAACTTTGGTACGGTGGCTCAGAAGTGTTTGAGCTCTTCGACTTTCTTTGTCCTTATGAATGGCAACCTCGCCTATTTTTTTAAACCAGAAAACCTGGCGGGGACTTTGACAGGGGGATCTCTTGTCCCCCGTACTCTTTGTCATTTATATAGAGGGGTTTGCGACACCCATTCGTAAAGCCATCGATGACCGAAAGTTAGCAGGAGCTAGGGTTAGCCCTAGAGCCACGTGTATTTCCCATATGTTTTTCGCAGATGATTCATACTTATTCCTCAGAGGTTCAATGCAAGAATGTGAAATATGTATGAGGTTTTGGATGAATATGAGGAGCTTAGTGAGCAAAGGATAAACCTTGCTAAATCAGCAGTGTGCTTTAGTATGAATATTTTGCCTTAAGTATAAAAAAAAAAAAATATATTTTGCCTTCGGACCAAGAAAACCCTGCTCTTCGTTTTGGCGTAGGAGCGGTGGGGGTGCATAATAAGTATTTGGTCTTTCCTACCTTAGTTAGTCCAAGATGGCTTCAATACGATATCTAGAAGAAAAGTTGTTGCAACGTTTACAGGGCTGGAAGCAAAAGGTGGTCTCGTGGGCGACAAAGAAGACGCTCATTAAATCAATTGGCCACTACCCCTCTGTCGAATTCTGGATAAACAAGTGGCCAAATTCTGGTGGGGAGTTGAAAGGGGTTGTCCTCATATTTGCTGGATCTCCTGGAAGAATTTGTGTCAGAGTAAACATGATGGGGGATAGAATTCGTCGCTTTGAGCATTTTAATCAGGCTCTCTTGGCTAATATTGGATGACAGATTCTCAATAAACCTGATTCTCTTCTAGCCCATGTTTACAAAGGGAAGTACTTCCTAATGGGTTCGTTCTTGACAACTACTGCGCAATCTCGTCCGTCGTGGGGATGACAGAGTATTCTCCATGGCCACCTCTTATTTCAAAGAGGGTTGCGATGGAAGATTGAGAATGGACTTCAGGCCTCTATCTAGCATTCTAGTTGCGTTCCTAGTTCTCACCCCCCCTCCTCATTGTAACCCTCATGCAATTTTGGAGGGAAGTGCTCCTAAGGTGACAGAGCTTATGGTTCAAGGGGGAGGAAGATGGTGTCAACAATTTCTTTTGCAGATGTTTGCACCGTACACAATTCGTGCCATTAAAGCAACTCATGTACCTCGTGTGGAGATATATGATACCTTGGTTTGGCATGATACATGTGATGGGGTGTTCACTGTCAAGGTTGCATATCATCTTGATGTTTTGGTGGATAGACAGTTAGGGGTTTGGAGATCCACGGTGAGTTGGATGGATAGAACGGGTTGGATGCGAATGTAGGATCTTTTGATTCCGCCTAAGCTAAAATTGTTCATGTGGCAAATTTTCTAGCACATTCTTCCAACTACGGAGGCTATGATTTAGAAAAAGGTCCAGATGTTGCCCCGATGCCCGGTGAGTTGGGAGGAATATGAAACGATGGAGAATCTCTTTGTTGGATTTCCAAATTGGTAGAGCTCTATGGATTCACTCGGGACTAGAGAATTTGGGGCAAGGATCACCATGTCATACCTTCACTCTTTTTCTCAATAAATGCTTGTTGCGGATGACCCTACCGTTCAAATTATGGCCCTTTTTCCGGTCTCATGGCGTATACAGAAATCCAAAAATTGGTTTGTCTTTGAAGGAAAACAATTTCGGATTATAATCTGATGCGCCAATACCATTAGCAACTCCATGACTGGGTTTACTTGCCGGAAGATAGGATGGTTCTGAATCAGCTTCCTTTGCGACAGAGTTCGGATGCGGGAGGTTCATCCTCTGTTATTTGTATGTGGGATGGTGCCGTATGTGCTGGCTCACATTCAGGGTAAGGGATAATCATGAAAGAGGAAGAAGACTCTGTTTTCTTAGCCAAAGGGTTGTTTTTGGAGGATATTGATGACCCTCTTGTTGTTGAGACTATTGTCCTCCATGAAGCTATTCAGTGGTGTCGGGACCGTGGATTCGCTCAGGTTTTATTTGAATGTGATGCTAAAGGTGCTTATTGACAAGATCAATCCAAGGATGTGCGGGATAGTCATGTTGGGGTCATTATTGAGGAAATTATGTGTATGTTGGCTCTAAATATCGATTTTCATGTTCGATTTGTAGGTCGAATTAGCAATAGGGTAGCCCATCTTGTGACTCGAAAGCCCTTTATTTGCCTCCGACCTCGTGTCGTATGTTTGATTTTTGTTCCTGAGTTGGTTCCAAAGTTGAATAACCTCTGATTTTTCTTTCAATCAATATGATTTATTTTGTTAAAAAAGTTAACATTTTTGGAAGAAAAGTACAAAAATTGAAAAACTAATACATACCTGCTGACTGGTAGACATCATGATAGACCACTTTGACTACAGTAACATTAAGTTCCATGAATTAAATTTGCACACGTAATTTTATTGTACATAGTAAAACTTCAAATTCATATACAAATTCTCCAAATTTCATAGAGGTATACTATATGGATTAGTTCCGAAAATTATAGAAGGATAGAGGCGTCGGGGCTTACACAAGAGCTCACCTAGCTTCACTCCTACTCCAAATGATTCCAAAATTTCTACTGAATCTATGAAGTCGATGAATCTAAAATTCAAAATTATCCCCCAAACGACCTCTAAATGTCAAGAATTGTAGTTATCAATGAATGAATGAATTAAACCAGCTCAGCCTTATTACGTGGAGTGCGGCAGCGTTCACGATTTCGTGGTATCGGTACAGCCATTTCATAGTCTGTACAGAAGTAGCGCCGTAATATAATAAGAGATTAGATCGTTATGGCACGTAGGATAGCGGGAGTGCGGGACCCGCCCGACCTACATAATTTGATTCAAGTCTCTCCGTTCCGCACGCCATTAGAGAGCTTGCTGCAAGATAGCGAGCCGCCATTAATACCGTCCGACTCGCCCAACGAACGAGTCAATTACTGAGTCAGGGAGGTTGCAAAATAAAGGCTAACCTTTTCGAAAGACTTGTTGTTTGTTCAGCTTTCCTCCTCACTTGTCGGGGAAGCACAAATTCAGCTACCTTCCCCCTCCCTCCTTACTGTGTACGCGCTGTCTCGCTTCTTCCCTGCTCTCTGGCTTGGTTTCTGATAATCTTCTCTCGCTTCTTGTGTTTTTCCTTTCTCCCAATCCGTTACATTGGCTGCTGATTTTTTGCTTTCTAGTTGATTTCTGTTGCATCTTTTAGTGCTTCGATCTGTGAAATAAATTTGCTCCGTCGATTTTGCCTAAATGAGGGGTCGTAGTAGATGATCCTCAGCATGTTAACAGTTTTTCTGTCATGCTGACTTAAATCCGAGAAAGGGAAAGCCAGACCGATATCAAGGGGATTCGGACTATTGTGAGATGTAGTATATTCCTCATATTTGTAGCTTTAGCTGGCAGCTTTGATGAGGTTCTTTATAATGTTTAATGCTGGAACCTCTGTGTATTGGCAGAAAGTTTACGGACTGCAGCTGCCAACTTTTCCTGGAAAAGCAAGTTTAGACTCTTTAAAGAGTTTAATAGGATGGGCTGGATATCAGTTTGTGTGTTTGACCTTCTTGTCAATTGCTTTTCAGCTTCTTTGCATATGCTTTTCTACTTTTGATTACCAACCTTGAAATTTGTGTGTGTATGGTGATAACCAACCTTCCTTTAGTTCAAGTTGCTGGGGCAATCCTGGTACAGTCTGACTGTTACTACCCAAATCTAGTCTCCTATGTATTGCTTTTACAGGAGTTCTGCGTCTGCTTAGTGTGAACATGTTTCGAGGTTTTGCTTTTGAAGAGCTGTAATCTTGTGATTTGCAGCAGCATTTTTCCCTGAAGACAGCAAGTATGCCTGACAAAATAACTGCGGAGGACATTCTAACAAACCTAGTTGAAACCTTTGGTGAAAACATCCCAAAACATAAATCTGGGTCATTCTTTGAAGAAGAGAGAGACAAAGCCACAGCTCAATTCAACAAATTGTTTGGACGCCAGAAGCCAATTCATCATGTCTTGGGTGGTGGCAAATGTATGAATGTGTTTCAGTCATTTTCTCTCTTCCCGCCTTTGCCCCTGCCCCTTACTCCTTAGAAATTTATGCAGCTGCTGATGTTCTGTTATGGAGGAACAAGAAGATATCTGCTAGTGTTTTAGGTTCTGCAACTGCCATGTGGGTGCTTTTTGAGTGGCTAAATTACCATTTCTTGACTCTCCTGTGCTTGGCTCTAGTCCTTGGTATGCTTGTTCAGTTCTTGTGGAGGAATGTTTCGGGACTATTGAACCAGTAAGTGTTTTTTTTCTCCCCCTGCTTTCACTTCTGTTCATTGAGTGATGTGTAATCTTTATTTCTACTTACACTCTCTTCATGTGAATAGGTCATCATCCAAGGTTCCCCGACTTGTTTTACCTGAGGAGTTGTTTGTCAGCATTGGCAAATCTGTTGGTGCAGAGGTTAATCGTGCGCTACTTCTGCTTCAGAATGTGTCATGCGGTGGGAACTTGAAACATTTTCTTGTGGTATGCTGCAGATCTTAGAATCTTCAGGGTGCTTTTTTTTTTTTTATGTATATCACAACACTAAATAGACATATCCTAATCCCATCCATCTTTGAGGCTTTCTAGTGTAAGTTCCTGCTAAATTGGCATAAGCATTCACTAAAGTTCCAATCATATAGGTATATCATTACTTCTCAACAGTGATTCTAAAATGCTCTCCTGAAGCACATGCAAGGGAGTTCCGTAACTGAGTTTGGCATTTCTAGGTTAGCTTGGTTTGCAGTATCTGCTAAATAGTCTCATATCAGTAGATGGAATGTCTCATGTATTCCAATTTCACTTAGTAAGAGTGGATCAGTTTTTCCTATGAGTCTTCTGTCCATCCTATCATTTCTAGCCATAATGCTGGATAGCAGGCGTGAAAATCAGGAAAAAGGCTCTGCAAGCTAACAGGTCCTACGCAGTAATCAGTATCGCTACTGTTGTTCAGGAGCTACTATCTGAATATATGTTTTCACTGAAAGCAAGTGGATTTCTGAACCAATACATGAGTACAACAGTTATCCTTCTGATTGTTTTATCATCTTGGGCTGTCGATGCACATAAAGCTGCTCTTTTGTATTTCCTTTCCTGCATTTGGTGTAAATAATGATATGTTAGAGGCTTGTAGTAAAGGGAATTGCTGTACCTGCTTCTTCAGGCTGTTGGGAGCTTGTGGGTTGCTGCTGTGATTGGAAGCTGGTTCAACTTTGTGACTGTGCTGTATATAGGTGAGTTCCTAAGACGATGAGAGAGCACCATGGTAAACTTTATTTTTTATAATGGAGAGCACCATGGTATTGGTAGCAGCTCCCAGTCCTATATGTGAGTTCATAAAAATTGCAAGTTGTTTCAACCCTTGTGTGCTGTTTTCTGCTTCTAGGTTTTGTTGGAGCTCACACATTGCCGGTCCTATATGAGAAGTACGAGGATCAGGTGGATGACTTTGTGTACAAGGTATTTGAACAGCTCCGAGGCCATTACAGCAAGCTTGACATGTCTCTCCTGAGCAAGATACCCAAGGGAAAGCACAAGGGGAAGAAGGATGAATAGGGAATCTGTAACTGTGTTTGTCTTGGGAGTTTGGACTAGGTTCATATGACGCGAGTTGCGACTTTAGTTTTATTGGGGAAAAAAAAACTCTGCTTTAGTTGAAACTCCGTTAAAAAAAACTCTGCCTTAGTTGAAGGGGAAAAGGGTCTAAAAATAGTCTGCTGAAGTTGTAAGTATATGTGGCCAGTACGCGTATGTATTGCTTCGAAAGGAATTGCTGCCAGAATATCTGCTGTTAAATCCATAGTATTCCCCAATTAATGAAGCGTCGTATTTCTATTTAAAGATTATGGAATAAATTTGACTGCTCAATTTTTTGCTATCATTCTCCTTTTTTCATTGGTTGTTTCTCAGATATTGCTAGGCTTGGAAGAGGTTGTAGCCTAGCTGTAACACTGCCTGTGAGAAACAATTTGGAGTTTGTAGTTTTGAATCCCCTAGACTGCGTGCTTGTGTCCTAGACTGCGTGCTTGTGTTCTTTGTGCAGTAGTTCTCCTTCCGTCCATTACATACCAGTGCCAAAGTTACTAATTGACTCGCTCTAACTACAACTTCCTCATTGACGGCCAAGTATAACCGATGATTGGGTGTAGTATAGGGTAAGCAAGCAATAAAATTTGTCGTACCACGAGAATTTAGGCTTACCTTACTTCGGGTTTAGGGTTCGTTATCTAGCCAACCTAGAATAGTGGCTAGGAAAAATAAACTAACTAACCTATCTAACCACCAACCTAGCTACTTACAAGTTGTGGAGCTCTCAGGTTTGAATCCTCCTAATTCTATCGTTTGGATCGATGTTGTGTACTATCCTAGCTCGATCGATTCACTACCCTACCGTCATGAGATCTACTCACTCGAGATTGACCCGGAATGGCGAAGTGATGGTTGGGAAGGTGTTCTATTCAACCTAGGGTTTCATACATTGCTAGAAGATCGATTGAATAAACTCCCTCGGGGATTACCCCGACAACATATGATAGGAGTGACCCAAAAATGCAAAAAGTTGGCTCTAAGGAGATTTTCTTACTCCTAGGTCAAAAGCTCAATTGACATCATGACATGTAGAACTCATGCAATTCATGAAAACATCCATCAAATAGATAATAAACTCAATCAAACATAGGATTTGTCACATACACCAACATTAACCCAAAATCTGGACCTAGGTTCATCAACCTAAGAGAAGAGGTCTAATTCATAGAGAGAGAGAAGAGAGATTACAAAACATGCTCAAAATCTTCATCTTCTAGGCTGGAATCCTTGTCTCCAAGATCAACACAAGCCTCCAATTAATCTTCAAGACCTCTCAAAAACTCACTCTCTCTAGAACTCTTCTTTGGTGTTTTGGGTCGAAACCCTAGAGAGAGAACCAAGTTCTCCTCCAAAAACTAGCTCTCCTTTCTCTCTCCCTGCTGTTGTCTTTTATAAAGCCCAACCTTCACAATCACGGGCTGAGTGTTACGACCAGGACATTGGAGTCCCGCCTGTGACATCGGATAAAAACGCAGGGAACAGCCGTTTTCGTCCGATGTCATGATCTGTGGTCAATTGTCATGGTCCGGTGACCATGACAATTAATTAGCCCCTGAGGTGTACAAAGCGTTTTGAAAATTGTCGAATCCCACGGCCTGGGCTCCTTTGTCACAGTATGTAGGGCGTGCCATTTGACTCATGCCCCTGACATTCGCCTTTTATTCACTTTTTGGCACTTTCGACTCCAGTCGTCCCGAAACTGGTCATCGACCTTCCCACACGCACTAGAACATGAAATGTAACAAAAATAGCACAACCTAGCGTAAAATAGGTCGAGAGACTATGATTTACCAAGTCAAACGATCAACAAATAAGTGGTAAAATATGTGTAATTAGGCCCGAATCACACCCCCACACTTGAACGTTTGCTTGTCCCCAATCAAACCACGTACAAAACAAGGTAAGCTTGCAACTTTTTTCTTGAAAACTTTGGGGTATGTTATAGGGCACAAAACATGTGAATACTAAACATCAACTATGGACAACAACAACAATACTAACAACCACCACAAATGACATTTGAATACAATATAACCATGGAAAGGAAGAGTGCTCATCTTGTTCACAAACCAAAGTATAACATATAATGACGACTCACCAATCACAGTTATCCATGCATACATATAACATCATAAGAACGAATGATCGAGAAAACTAGGTCCTCACCAGGATACATGATAAGAACGAAGTGAATCACTCACTCTTGACTAGTAGGGTCAGGACCATTTTGATGCAAAAGATGTGCATACTCAAACGCTCAGCCCTATCGTCTCTTCACCATGACGATAACCTCTAAATGTTAGAGATCACAAGACGGTTGCCATCACTAGCTTGTCCGGAGGTCTTAGACACAGGTTCAGATGACCAGCTAGGGTCTCGGACATGGGGAAAAGGCTTTTTGGGTGGTGCACATAAAGCATGAGGTTCCACATCTTCAACCTAAAACCAACACAAGGTTCTATGATTTCGACAAGAACCTTATTCTACAAGCAATGACCACTAGCATTGGCCAAAAACCACACTTCCCTCAATTCCAAATGATAACCAATCACCAAACCATTCACAACAAACTTTCTTTTCTACACTTGCTATCAAACTTTTCAAGCACAAGAGTGAAGGAGGTACACAATCATGTATGTTTCTAGCTTAAGAAACTCTTTTTAGAGCATATACAACATTTGGTGACAACTCTTTTTTCTTTCTAGAACATTTTATGACTTTATTTTTCACTTATTTTTCTTGAGGGCTAGTAGAGAGCTAAACATGCCACATCCTTCAAACTTTACAACCAATGCTCACTTCTTAGAACTATCTCCAACACTCACTTTTCACTCTTAGCAAAACCAAGCACAAATCACTTACGTGGAACCTTAATTAAGCTCAATTGATATGATGGGAGCTTCCAAGCACAAGGGTGACTCAAAAATGGTGTAGACATGAAGAAAGTAGATTTGCTCTATCTATATCAATCAAGCTCAATTAGCAAGAGCAACCTTTAGACATACAACTCAAAAGGGTTGACTAGGGGATAATTTAATTGGGACTAGTCAAACTTTGGGTCGTGGACTAAACCTTGGCTTCCATCTTCCTCACTAGTGACAACGTGAATGCTACAGATCATGGTAAGAGGGATCTATCACACAAGAAGAAAACGAGCGATACAAATCTCACATGGCTACCTAGATGCTCAATCGTTCATTCTAACTTCCCAATTTTGACGCATGGAAATTGTGACCAATGAGTAATCAATCCAAAAAATCCATTGATTTGCAAACACATGAGAAATGAACATTCACACAAACTCAATGCATATCTCATTCGTCATCATAGGTTGTTCTCAATCACAAACAAGTCATCCATACATCAACACGAATAGCCACGAGATTCAAAACAAAACACCAAAAGTGTCACTATGATCATGCAAATGTAGAAGTTGCTATGTTTGGAGCCCTCAAAATTTTATAAATTTTGGGCATAGGCTCAAAGCACTCGAAATCACACCAATCGTTCACACAAACATGCATAATAGACTACCCCCACATTTAAGCTCGACATTGCCCTCAATAGCATAAAATAAGGAGGTAGAACGATGTTACCGGATATGGTGTGAATGTTGGTGGGCAGGAGCGGAGGGTAGGGGTTGGAAATTCGTGTTGGAGCATGCTCTTTCAAAACTATCCATGGCAAACTCCAATTTGGACTTCTCTTCAAGTTGTTGGAGATCCAAGTTTGAGAACCCTTTATCAGGGCCTCTGGCAAACCGCTCCACCATGAGCTCCAATTGGCTCTTTTGATCCAGTAGTAGAGTGGCACATGATCTTGAAGAATTCCCCATGACGGCCTCCATTTCCAAATCCAACTTGGATTTCTCCTCTGTTAGTGCCCGGGGGGGGGGGGGAGTTTTCTTTGTATGAGGAAGCTTATTGATATCCCCATTGGTATGGTTGTTCTTCTTGGAAGGGGGGTGTTGGTAAAAGAACCTGAACCCTTGACTTTGACCATCTTGATTGTTCCATGAAGCTTCGGGTGGTGGTGATACCCTCTCACTGGGGTGAAGTCATGAGGATCCATGATTCAAAGACTACATAAATAGAAACACAAAAAAGAAAATCAAACAAACAAACACAAACCACCCTGGAAGACGAAGAGTGGGTCAACAAACACAAAACAAAACACAAAAATAAAATGGCTAAAGTAACAACCTAAGCTTTTTCCGATAACATAGAATGGTGTCCTCGGCAACGGCGCCAAAAACTTTACTCATTCTAACTACAAATTCTCAATAGACGGCCAAATATAATTGACGACCGGGTGTAACATAGGGTAAGCAATAAAATTGACCGTACCACAGGGATCTAGCCTTACCTTACTTCTGGTTTAGGGTTCGTTATCCAGCCAACCTAGAATAGTGATTAGGAAAACTAAAATTACTAACCTATGTAATTACAAGTTGTGGAGCTCTCTTAGGTTTGAATCCCCCTAGTTCTATCATTTGGATAGATGTTGAGTACTATCCTAGCTCGTTAGATTCATTATCCTACCGTTATGAGATCGACTCACTAGGGATTGGCCCGGAATGGCGAAGTGATAGATGGGAAGGTGCTCTATTCAATATAGGGTTTCATACATCGCTAGGAGATTGATCGAATCTACTCCCTCGGGGATTACGCATACAACATACCATAGGAGTGACCCGAAGATGCCAAAAGTGGGCTCCAAGGGGATTTTCTCCCTCCTAGCTCAAAAGATTAATTGACATGTAGAACTAATGCAATGTATGAAAACATCCATCAAATAGATGATAAACTCAATCAAAATAGGATTTGTCACATACACCAACATTAACCCAAAATCTAGACCTTGGTTCATCAACCTAAGAGAAGAGGTCTAATTCATAGAGGGAGAAGATAGATTACAAACCATGCTCATGATCTTCATCTTCTAGGCTTGAATCCTTGTCTCCTTTATCAACCCAAGCCTCCAATTAAGCTCCAAGATCTCTCAAAAACTCACTCTCTCTACAACTCCTCCCTCTTTGGTGTTTTGGGTCGAAACCCTAAAATGAGAACCAAGTTCTCCTCCAGAACCAACTCTCCTTTCCCTCTCCACGCTACTGTCTTTTATACAGCCCGACAGTCACAATCACGAGCAAAATTTCACAGCCGTGACATTGGAGTCCCGCCTGTGACATTGAAGAAAAACGCAGGGGACTGGAGTCATTTTCGTCCGATGTCACGGTGTGTGGTCAATTGTCACGGTCTAGTGACAGTGACAATGTAACGACCCGATCTTTTTAGAAAACCAAACTATTACTCAAACCGAAAACCGTCTACTCCGGACCAA